AAAAATCGCCAAAATCAATATAATATTGGAGTTTTTTATTCAATATTGATAGATTTGTAGAAGATTTAAAGGTATTGTACAATAATTGAGCCAAAAAAACGACGACTAAAAAAGCATCAAAAAGCTGCAAAAAATGGCGGATCACGGGTTCTGCTCAAATAACGGCCGTTATTTGCTATGCGCCATTATTTTGTTATATCGGGCGATATAACGCCAGACCGGACCAGTTTTTATAGAACCGGCCGGTTTTTCAAAATGTCGCCGGTTCAAGGCCAAACCGGCCGATTTTTTAACCGATTTTTTTCAGGACGCTTTGGTTTTTTACTAGTACACTAAAACCGGTCCTAACCAGAATCACCACCCCACCGGTAGGGAGCTAACCGACGGGTTCCGGTTCCGACCGGCCGATTTTTCTAACACTGTTTGAAGCCACTCCTTTCTCTCTTAACATATATATACAATTTAGGAAAACCACACAAAACATAACGTTGTTTTGAAATTTCAAAACCAAAAATACTAACACTAATGATATATTTTTATGAGTACTAGGACTCACATGTAGATATGTGTCCCCTCTTCATGATCCATAGCTTTGATGAATTTTGGACCTAATATTTTAGATATATTTAATCTCTAACATGGAAATCATAAATTTGTAAAATGATAAATTTTTAAAACTACAAATAGTAACTTTTTTTGAAAAAAAAAACATAAAAACTTAAAACGGTTGATTCTGCCCTTTTTTTAGGTGAGACCACAACTCACATCCGGATGATGGCTCAGCAAATGCATATATGATTATGCATCCCCTGACACATAGCCCACTTTTCTTGAATCTTTGCATAACTTCAAGAAAAAAAAAAAAAACTACTAAAAGGGCAGAGAACCACAAATAAAAAGGACCAATTTATGAAAGTAATTTGTAGGCGTTAGTGAGAAAACTAGGGCCCTTCAGTCACGGGTTCACATGAAAGTCTTTTCTTTCTTTCCACCTAATCTTCTTTCTCATTTCTTTTTTCTTTGAAAGCCGGACCATTCTACATGTAATGGACTGTTTGTATACTACATTTTGGTACTCACATTCATCCCGAGAATTGGATGGTGGAGATGAACAGTTCCTCTAATATTGTGTATTAGAGCAGGGAAATGGTTCATCTCCACAGTCCCCTGATGACACTGACGGTTGAGATCACATGCAGTATACAAATAGTAAATACTATTCAATGATTTTTTTGTTTGCTTTTTTAGGTTGCGGGGTAGGTAAACCTGGAATATGCATTATTGACCCAAACAGAAAGCTGCATATCCAAAAGAACCGTATAAAGGAAAAAGTTTATATAAGGGTGAGTCCCTAAACAAAGAAATTAAAGTATACCTCACAATTTTAGTAAAAGAGGTTGTTTAGATGCAAAAAAAACCTCAAATCAATCATTACGACTTCAAGATGTAAAAACATAACAAAAACTGGATTTTAAGTCTTGAAAATAGTGTATCTTGTAATGCATTTTTAAGACCGTCAATTTTTAAGTTATCAAATGTTCATAGATCTGCTCTATCTCTACTATTTTTGAAGCTTTAAATTTTATAATTAGAGATAAGAATAAATTTTTAGGCCATCACAAAGATTTATAGTACTGAGATAACATCTTTCGATATTATTTCAAGGTACGCCTTATTTTGATTGTATAGGGCCTCAGCCTCATACAAACTACACGTGGAGAAGTTTGAATGAGGTCTCACGAAATGTGGTATCCTTCAAAAAATCTATCTTAGATATAGATTTATGATCTGAAACGCATATTAAGTTTACATTTCAACTTTAAATGCAAGATTTAACTTCTAAGAGAAGTGCAAATATAATATACATTCATTTTTATACATTCCTTTTTCTTATTGGAAAATGGTTTGATAGGGCTGCAGCCCTATCAAAATAAGTAAATCCCCATCTCATAACTTATAGAAAATTGTAAGTCAAGTATTGAAAAACCTTTGTATTGATCATCTCGACTTCAACATTATGGTTGTCAAAATAAATTAAAATTTTAAACCCTAAAAATACTGTACAACGTAACAAATTATCTAGACGGTTTGTTTTGTGTTAAAAAATAAGTGTTGACAGATCTGTAAAATTTGTACCAACTTTTTGAGTTTCAAATTTTATTATCAATTTTGAAAATTGATTTTGAAGCCATCATAGAGATTTCCGTCGTCGAAAGTACTTTCCAAGTATTTGAGGTGAGGCTTTATTTTCATAGAACTGATACGACTAAGTTAATGCTTGAAGATCATGAGCGTGGTCGGCCATAATGATTTAACATTCTAAAGTGAAATTCGACAACTGATAATGGCAATCACTAAATTTGGGGACACAATGCATATGTTATGCTAAAGGAAATAGCACATGTTTCCATATGAACACCTTTAAAGAACAAAAGAAAATTTTGATTACAAGGCAAAAATTATTGTGGGAAATCCATAAAGTTGAACTTTATACACCCATGGTAGAGGGATGTATTTATGCACATCATTATGTAACCGTATTTGTAATATATAAAGACTATAAATGTGAAATGGAAAGTTCCAATTAGTGGGTTTTGTCTCTTTATTTTTTGAGTTTAGTCCATCTATTGCAACATATTTGAACAAAAGGAAGGAGAAGGCTAGAAATGGGTTTTTCCATTGATTCATCTGTGAGATTGCGGTTTGGGCCTACAAAACGAGTGGAGGACGTATTTATAATAGATAATAATTTCAAGGAGGATGTACTTACAATAGGTAATAATTTCAAGAATATTTTACGTATGTACCATATTTAAATATAGTAATTATATAGAAGTCCATAATTTCGCAAAATTTACGAGGAGGTCCTTGGTTTGATGTTCCGAACATTGGACCATTGCTTTTTTTCCCTTTTTTATTTTCTAATTTTTCCCAATGATTCTATGTTCCAACATCTTGTCCGATTCCTGTTTTATTTTTTTTAACTTTTATGGAGTGTAGGAACTGGTCTGAAGTTTCAAACCTTCAACTGCTTAGCTGGTGTGAACATTGTGGAAGCCAAGCGGTTTGAAGTTTGGACTATAAACTTTACAATCCATGTACCGGTCTAAGGTATGGAAACTCAGACCACTTTGCTTGCACAATATTTACTTAAGCTGACTTGTCCAAGGTCTCAAATCTTAAATTGATTCCTAAACTAAAAATTCACAATGCCAATACCGATCTGAGGTCAACCTCACGGCTTGGCTTGCACAGTCTTCACAAAAGCCAAGCATTTTAAGGACTTTGGAAGTTTCCTTACACTTTAAAAATTAAAAAAATAAAATAAAAAAGTAGTCAAATATTTGAAACATTTGACAAAGGACAAAATTGAAAAAAAAAAAATGGACCTTTGAGTAAAATTTGCAAAACTCTAGACCTCCACGTAATTCTCTAATTTAATTACGGTATGGGCGTAATTATTGTAAGTTTAATTTAATATCTTAAAGTCCTAATATAATAAATTTTCTATTAAAAAGAAAAACACAATAGTATGCCAATAAAAACTCCCACGGATAACATACTGATTAGACAATGCGAAAACCTTGGTGAAAAAACTTGTTTTTGCGACCGCGAAACCAGCCGGGTTAAACGCTAATGGACTCAACTTTTCGGGCATGTTCTGCTTTCCACTTCCCTCGTTCGAAAAATGATTAAAACAAGTTGGCCTTCAAATTCAACACTCTTAATTTTCATAACATTAACATTAAGATTTACATTGACTAAATTCAATATGGGAAGACCTTTTGGAGATTTCACCTACCAATTATATATCGGAAAACTATTTAAGTTCGTTCAAGTACCAGGAGACCATTTCTCTTTCATACAAGGAGGTCACAAGCATTGTTAGAAAAACCGGACGATCTAACCGCTAGTTGCTCGGTTAGATCGAAACCGATCGGTTTTGATTTTGGGCAGTTTTAGTATTCGACCGGTATTTTTTAAAAAAATCTATAAATTTTCAAAAATAAAGAATTTGATTTTTTTAATGTATTTTTAATATTTTTTACATTATGATAAAGATTAAAATTTGTTTTGGTCACTAATACTCACTTTTATATTTTCCCATCTGTTTTAAAAAATATCCCTAAGCACAAATCCTTTTTTTTTTATTAATTTTCAACTTCATTTGAATGTGTTTTGTTTTAATCATGCTTTATATGTTTTTTTTATATTTTAGTAGATCTTTTGTATCTTTTTTTATTTTTTTCAATAGTTTTTTGACCGTCCGGGACTTGTCTGGTTAGAACGGTTGAATTGGCCAGTTTACCGATTGGGCTGGCTAAATTGCTTCCGGGCCCATGCCCAATTAACCATTCCTGTTCGATTTTGTGAACACTGGTCACAAGTATCCATCAGCTTGGATGTGTCATAAAGTTCGAAAAAATTTCTTTTGAATGGTCTCATTGTATACTTTTCCTAATGAAAATTATTCCCTGTTATCGTTGGGGGATGCAGGAAAAGAGCCCAAACTTAATTGGTTGACACTTGACTATTTGCGCTCTTCATCCTAAGCTCAATTTCTACCAAAGGTTGGGGCCTCTCCCTGCTGATTGACCTAAAATAGAACTACAATCCGAATTCATAACACAAAGTTGTTCGTTTTTAGTTATTTATTTTACTTAAATTTATTTTCTTTTGTTGAGCAGTTCATCTAAAAAAAAATTAGAACCTTAGGGATCATGTGTCTTGCAGAGCCAGCGTACCGGCCCTACGTCCTCATCTATGACCACTCACGTGTTGTTCCATCTGCTCTACTCCATTATCATTTCCCTATAATAATGGAAATTATTTATATCTTACGATCTGTTTCAAAGCTGAACTTACTTTATGACAGGAAGCTGAGCACCAATGCAGAAAAGGAAGAAGCGACAAATATTCCTCTTTGAAAAATTATAAATAAAAAAAAAGAACCAAAAGGGTAAGAAAAGAAGTAGCATAACCATCCAAACAGGCTTTTGCACAATAACTGGCCCAAAATAAAAATAACAAAAAAGCATTTTACTATATTGTCCTCCCCCAAGACATTCTCGCATCACAGTCTTGGAGGAGTTGAAAGCACACCTTAAAACCCAGGGGCACTTGAGCTTCTCACACTGAAAACAGAGTAAGAAAAACTAAAATTGAACGAAAATGCACACAACTCACAGGCACTATACAAATCCAAAAGCGGGTTTGAGCGAGATTTCCAGTGAGAACTTTTCTACTCCTGTGTTTCGGCCAAATTGTTCACGAGAGCAAGAGCATTACTCGTCACCTGTTTCGCGCAGGAGACTCGCCCGCTCAATGCCGTGACGCCGCCGCCGTCAGATTCCCCCGAGCCATCAAATCCGTCCATACATGTGTCGTCATTTGTTATGGCCGCACTTAACCAGGTTTGGACATTCCCCATTTGCAACCGAAAACCGGCTCTGCTTAAGCGGCTCAGCTCCCGTGCAGACCTCTTCACTTGATCCAAAGCATCAGCCAAGTTTTCAGCGCAATCTCTTACCGACCCATGCTCTCGGGTCGAATGTCCAAGCCGAGCCACTAGAGCCGAGGCCTTTTGCGTGCTCTTCAAACTAACTGAAACTGCAGCTCTAGCGAGCTGACTCGGACTCTGTTTGATGGAGTCCGAGTAGACCGAGAGCGAATCGTAACAAAGGGAAGGGTATAGAGTGGTGTCACATGATGTGCGGATGAAATCGGACCGGGAATCGTTTGTGACGGCCGTTATCGTTGGGAGCACAACAGTGAGAACGAGAGAGAAGAAAAGAGCAGCCATGGCTTAGGGCCTTTGTGGCGTTGGCGTCTTTGAGGAGTGATTGAGTGCAGAGTTTATATAGAGAGAGATGGAAAGGGTGAAGTGTGATTGAGGGCGTGCATCACGAGAAGTTGACGGGTATTAAATGATCCTTCCGTGACCGACTGTACTAGAAAGTTTTATTTGTTTATTTTTTTTTTGCGCCTCTTGGACAAATTAAAAGTGAGAAACACTCTATCGTGGGTCCTTTTTCTTTGGGTTAGGTTTATTTTTAAGTTATCCCATTTTTTTTTTTTAATTTTAGATGATGAGGGTGGACTTATGGACTTATGAAACAGTATAAGCTCAACAATTCAGATTGAATCTGGATCGATTTGATGATCAAAATTGTATATCGGTAATATGATTTTAATATTTTTTATATAAATCTAAATAGTATGAAATTTAGAGCATAAACTCTTCTCATCAAGGCACACTTAATAAAAATATTAAAAATATAATTCAGATAAAATAAATTGACCAAAATACCTTCAAAACTTTTCAGAGGTATTTTGATCAATTTAACTTATATGAATTATTTTTTTGATATTTTTATTAGATTCAAATATTGTTCAAGAATAGCCCCTCCAAATTTCAAGTAATTTGGATTTGTAAAAAAAAAAAATTAAAATTCAATTATGAAATACAATTGTAATCATTGGATAGTCCAGATTCAATCTGGGCTGTTGGGCTTACACTGTTCTATGAACCCATAGGCTGAGAGGAGCTTTTTCCATATATATATATATATATATATATATATAT